GACTCCTACATTCTTCCGTTCTCTGAAGTGCTCGACTGGAAAAGGTCTGAATGAATCTTAATGTGTTTAGGGGTTTGAAGGATGAACAAGTGTAGTGTTCATATACTTTTAATTTCACCTATTAATTTTGTCCTCCCTGCGCAGAGCCTCTGTGGTTATTCCAGAAGAAAAATTGTCAGAGATGTACACCATCCTAAAGAGCATTCCTCATAGACAAGTCGAGGAAATGCAAAGACAGGTAAAATCACTTTATAGAGTAATGAAAACAACTCACATTTAGTTTTTTTTTAAAGTATTATAAATTTAATTGACTAATTAGAAATGGGTGTTGTCACTGAATTGGGAAGTTGTGCAATTAATAGAGGTGCCTGTGCTTTAACAATTCAAGCTTCCTCACCAGTTCTACTTCTGGAAGCCAAAACAAATTTTATGAGACAGGATTTTGGATTCAGTCTTCTCTTTTTATAAGTTTGAATATCCTCTCTTACTCACTCTGGATTTTAAAAAGCTCATTGAAGATGTAACTGTTTATTTTAGCCTGAGTAAAATTCAGGGACTGAGACTCTCTCTTTTCATTTGACATCTGCCCAAAGCCACAATAAACAGTGCTGAATGCGGCAGTGAGAGCAGTGCACTGCTTCAGCTGCTCCTCATTCTCTTGTATCAACTCTTGTCCATTTACCAATTATACTGGCCAAACAGACATTTTAGGCCAGAAATTCAGAGATGGGCTTGGATTACACCATAATTTCTCAAACACATGGCTTGCTCTTAAGGTGGAAGAAGTTGCTGGGGGTAAATTGCTGTGGATAGCTCACAGCTATGTCAACCACTAAATCAAGCAGTAATGCACCAGTGTGTCTTCACATTGTAGAAAAAACACTATTTAAGCAAATTTAGCTTTTAAATTTTTCCTAACTGATCAAAGTGAAGGGATTTGTCAATCAAAATATTTAAAAATAGTAAACAAATTCTACACGAGTTATTTTTAATACACTTGTACTACGCGTTTTTGTATTTGAAGATTGGCTCACTACGCTAATGTCCAATAGATTTTTAAAAATGGAACATTCTTCAAAATTTTCATTTGTACGTTATGAGAAATGCATAAAACAATGCAAATAAACAATTAAGTTTAATTTTTAAATAAGATAAATGTATATATTTTGCTAAAATCCAAAAACTTAGCATTCCCTTAGTGTGTGCCTGATCATTTGTAGCAAAAGATGCATCTGCAGATAAACAAAATGGTTCGAACGTCAATATGTAAATCAGTAAAAATCAGTAAATTGACTGATTAAAAATCAGTCAATTTACTGATTAAAAATCAGTAAATATAGTGTAGGTGTAATCTGTTGACTATTTTTGGATATATGTTATATGTTTTGTACAATGCTGGCTTAATTACCTCAAAATGTATTTTTTAGGCTGTATTCTGCCTAAAAAGATTGTAAACTAATTATTAATTAGTTGAACAATTAATTCAACAATCGATTCATCATGATTAATTGTTTCAGATGTTTAAAAACTTTTAAGATGGTAAAAATATTATGAAAATCAAACATTTAAGCTCTGAGAAGCTAGGTAAAAAGATTTTAAATAAATTTTCTTGAGTTTTGCCAGCAGAGGGCTAAAGAGACCATGTTTTTGTGGCGTTTGAATATACAGATTAAAAATGAATAAAATAAAATCTTAACAGGACATGTAATTTAAAATATTTTTCTTGTTAATTTTCTCTTTCTAAAATTTTGTTTAATTTATTTTTTATTTTTTTTGAAAGGCCATAATTTTTTACGTGATGATGTAACTCATTTAGATGATTTATTTGGAAGACAAAATATATGTCTATTCTGAAAAAATTTAGTAAAACCATAAGCCCAGATTATTATTTTGGTCATAGACACAAAAGAGTAAAGTTATCCCAGATAATTTACTAGATTATATCAGCTAATCTCTTTCCGGTGATAAATAAAAGCATAGCCAGAGTGAAGATAGACAGGAATCACAGGCTGAGCTGAAGATACTTTGTATTTGCTTTTTCAATCTTCATTGCACATTTGTTTTTTTCAATCTTTAGTTGTATCCTATCAAGGCTTTCTTTCCCCTTTGATCATTGGCATCACCGACTTCCTTTAAAATGCATCAAACATAACAAATCCAAATAGTTGCACTTTAGTCACTTAACATAACTGCAGACTTTAATTTGGATCTTTGAAAACTATACCCACTATTTGACTGTCTTTTCTTATGAACACAAATTTAGATATCATCAAAACTTGTTTCTCAAATTGCAGATAAAATCTGAAGCAAGCCAAGCATTTCTCTTCCCTTGCTTCTTCCTCTCCCTGTCGGAAAGTCAATAATTACAGAAACTAATGTGACATAATAATTCTTACTTTAATTGTAATCCTGTGAGACCTCAGAGTGTTGTTAATTTTACCCATCACATTGTTTCTTATTTGATAAATTACAAGTACCAGTAGATGTGTTTGTGCAAATTTATCTTTTTTTTTGTTTTTTTTTTGTGAATGCAATTGATCATTTGTAAGAAAGTTTAAAATTATGTACATTGCAGTACTCTGGTAGTTTTTTTTTTTTTTTTTAACTTTAGACAGTGTAGATAGAATCTACATTTAATCTGCGTGTCAATGTATAATGCAGTATTATTACAACTAGAGAACACAGCTGAAGGTAAATTGCTGATATATCTTCTGAAAAAAATCTAATTTCCAGAAGAAGCTCAAAGATTTGTTTGAACTGGAAGTTTTGATCAGACGGTTTGCCAGATACCACTTGCAAGCATGATGTGGAAATAGCCGTCAGGCGTTTTGACAATGACATTCTGCAGTTTCTCTATGTATGTTGCTGTATATTTTCTATTTTATGTTGAACAGCTGCTATATTTAAAGATCATAGGCATAAAAAATGAGCGCAGTTAAAGCTCCTTAACCCCTTTAACTGTCTGGAAGACACCGGCGTCCTTTTAGACACGCTGACTTACATGCAAGTATTTGGGGGCAACAGTTAAGGATTTTTAACTTGAATATCCGATACCTGTTGACATTTTTTTTCCAATTCATCAACCTTTTGTATATTATTTGCCAAAAGTTTAAAAAAATTTTTGGTGCATCTAGTTGAATATGCAGATTATAAAAGTTGGATTTCCTTTTACGTTTGTTCTTGGTGCATTTCTATACATTTTATTTTGGGTGGAAAAAACGCATTCCATTCAATTATGGGTTAAAAACAGTCATAGGATGATGTCTGTCCTTCTTTGCTCAAACAAATTCCTGCTGACACGGGGAAAGAGGGCGGAGCATTGCGATGGGGGCCCCGGAGCCAGTACGGTTTTCTTTCTACCTCCTCTCGGTCAGAAAAGGAACTTTCATCATGGGTTGATTTATAGGCCCCTGAGATTAAAAAGTCTTTATAGATACACTTCAACCCCAGCTGTAAAACTCAACTCTGTTTTTGTGCTTTTGTACAGCTCGTCCTTGCATAGAATTTTGTGATTTAGGTCCTGTCCAAATGTTTACAAAGGGACGACTCATTAGCTAAAGACACGTGCATGGATTGCATTAGGAGGAAGAATATTATTATTCTCTAGCTGTCTGCCGTCTATGTGATGATGAAATATTTATTTTCTAACCTAATCCCATTGTTCAATTGTGGTTCAAAGCTTTATAAACTCCACTTGTGTGTTTTTTTTTTTTTTTCCCTCACCTCGAATCTGACCTCTGGAGTTTCTATAAAGCTTAAATAAACTCTCATTAGCTCACCGATCCAGCTCTCAGCTATCATTTCAGAGGCGGTCAGCTCGGCTGCAACAAAATGTGTATTGAATTGGGAGTGAGGAATCCAGCACCCTTTGTGATAACATTAAGATACAGGTTGAGCGTTCACTCATCAGAAAGACCGTTATCCAAACAGTGATCCGCTGAAAGAAAACAGAGACAGACGAGAGAGAGATTTCATAGGGCTTCAAAAGAGCTGTTGAAGGACGAGAGGTTGAAGAGGGGTGTCAAATATTCTGCAACATGTGGTGCAGGAGGAATCTCCAAATTTTACAGTAATGACATCATACTGGTGCCATCTTCTGCAGGAACTGAACCAAATAGTGAGATGACAGAATGAAAACATTATATTTAACAAATAAAAGAAGCACGGCCACATGCGTATTAAATTTTGTGATACTTCGGCATGTTTTGCTTTATATTAACATTGATATTTTTATGTATGTTATGACCCTCTGTTTTTTGGGTTTTTTGTTTTTTTTTAAAATAAAGTTCTGCCTCAAGGTATAACAGAAAAGATAGTTGTATATTCATAAAAACTTATTTTGGAAAATGTGATTGTAGCTGCCAGGAATGTTTTGGGTGTTTCTTTCTTTTTTGAGGATGTTTTGATGAATTGCGCAAAACCGTTTTGGAATTTGTTTGTTTCTAAATCACCAGCTGGAGTATGAGTAACATCTAGTTACTTGTGATTCAACTGCTAATGGGCTCACATAATTCCTCAGGCATGTGTTTTATTTTTTCTTCCATTTGCATCTATAGAATTGTCTGCACCAACAATTAGCTGGTGAATTCTTTTCATATTTCAAAAACCTCCTGCAGAGTATTTTGTGCAAATCAAGGCTAATGCTAGCACATATGTTTATTATTCTTTCTCATTTCTCTGTAGTTGATATATTTCATATTTCTCTTCCTTATGTTTTTTAGGCCCGTTGGTTCTGGGAGGCCTACTTCAGTTCCATGAAAGCCATCGGCTTGACTACGCTCCAGATCATCAATGACCGCATTTACCCATATGCTGCACGTACTTATGAGCAGTGGAACAATCCACCTGTTGTGGTATGTATGGATGTGTGTGTGTGTTTGCAGCTTAGTTGTTTTCTAACCTTGAACTTTACTTTTGTCGTCTTCTGTGATCCAGATACGGTCTTGCGTTCAGTTCTGCTCAACCTTTTATTTTTATTCTTAGAAATGTTTTTATGGCAGACATCTGAATGACACATCATCAAGGTTGAAGCCTTTGTCAGTCGGTGCCACGTGAACTTTCCCGTCTCTCCTGTGTACTATAAGTCACAGCCTGCAGTGAAGTGACAGTAGATGCTGTGTCTCTTTGTGAAGCATCACACATGCAGTGTGCCCCAGGGTTTGGTGTACAACCAGAGAGCTCTGAGGCAGCCAGTTTGTGTCAGCAGTTCTGCAATAGGCGGATGCCTCGTCTGTGGTGAATAATAAGTTCCTGTACGTCTTAGTCACTATGTTTATAGAGAGTATTCTGGAAGAATGGTTTTGGTGTGTGCGTTCAACTTTGCTTTGGTTGTGGCAGCAGACATGTTGGCTGGTGGACCATCTCTCAGGAGTTGTTAATCAGCCTGGTTTAATCTGGAGACTCCTCCAAGCTGTCTGTGGGATAGAGGAGTGTGCAAGTCAGCATGTTTGTGGATACATAAAGTAATGTCCTTGAATTAGTTAAATGTTTGCAATTGCTATAAAAGAAGTGACATAGATTCAGTCAGTGCTTTAATTTTTTGAGGACATTTTTTAGGTTACTCTAAAAACAGACAATCAGGTAACTTGCATTCAGCAGCTACAATTGACTATTTCTATTTACATGTTCTGTCAGAGCACGTTGACCTCTAGTCCAATCTGTCTGAGTCGTCCTGTGGCCACAAAGTTTTTCCAGAGACAGAGGTTAATTACACCGATGTACAAACCTTTGGCCATTCCTCCCCAAGATGGGAGATGAAGTGTTTTCTTGATGGATTCGGTGAATGGACGGTGAGAAGAACTTGCACACAGCACTATATAAATCAGGCAGACGTTTTTCCGCCTCTCCTCCTCAAGTCTTTCTGTTGGTAATTAAAAGCACATTTCCCAGGACTTCTGGTGCTTTTGCAGTGTGGAATTTTGAAAATATGAAACAAGCTGCCATTTGTTTGCGACTTTCTCAGATCAGGGGAAAGTTATGCAAAATTTAAAAATGACCTTAATCAAAGATTTGCCTTTTTATTTGCCAGGGCCAGTGATTTAATCTCTATCTTGAAGGTGTTCACATTTTAAAGACTGGTTACTGTTAAATGCGTTATGTGTAAGAAGTAGAAATGCAAAAAAAAAAGGTCAGTCAGAGATCTGCATTTTTTCTTTGATTTGCCATAAGTAGTGATCAGCAAATCAATTACTTCAAAGCTAAGAGCGTTCCCTGTTTTCAGTCTAAAGATGATTCAACCATTTCAAATAAATGGCAGGGTCACATTCGTTCATGCATGAACATGTATAATATTGTAATTTATTCCTTTCATGTGTGACTCAAAAGCAGTAACTCAATCCAAGAACACGCAGTTGTTTATTCTCTTGTGTGTTACTGTCCTTAAAAAAATAATTGCAACAGGTTTAAATCAAGCAATTTTTATTGTCCATGAAAAAAAGCTTGATCAGTCCATCTCTTCTAAAAAAAATCTGCATTTTATATTTTCACACAGTATTACTAAATATTTCATTAACTTTAGGCTTTCTGAAAATCCACTTTGTAAAAAAAAACAAAAAACATAAGCTCTTTAGGTTTAATATTTTCAGGCAAACATAATTTTCAGATTTAGTCACACTCCATTCAATCTTGTTTTAAATTTCTTTACTTTTGAAGGTTTCTAGGATGAGAGAAGAACCACTTCAGCAGTTTTAGCAAATCCAAATTGTCTTCCGAAGTGCTTTTAAAGTGTTAAAAAAAAACATACCGCTGTGACTCCTTGGCGACTTATGGAGCTGTGGCTTTCTTTTCATCTAATTTATTTTGTTTGACAAATGACTTAAGTGCTCTCAGCCTGTCCTACTCTACTTTTATGCATCTGTATATGTGTGCTTTAATTATTCCTCTCGTCTTTTTGTATGACAATGTGACAACGACCACAGGAAAGTTTCCACTTGCCAATAAAGTGAAATTTTATTAGTGGTAGAGTGACTTATGTTGTGTAAAAGTGAGCGACTGCGTCTGTGTTGACAGACTTGTGTTGATATTGTGAAAGGAGCCACATAATCACTCTATGGCCAAGTGGGACCAGAGATGAAACGGGGCTCATTTGAACTTCAAGACACCCACAGTGTTTTTTGGGGGATTTTTAATTTTTTATTTATTTATTTATTTATTTTTTTTATAGTTTTGCTAAAAGATTGTCACAAAATGGTGAAAATGTTCTTCAGTCTTGTTTGCAGGGTCTACAAGTAGATCCTGATTTTTCTCATGTTTTCTTGCATTGCTCTGATTGGTTCCCGGAAAAAGAAAGTCTTATTTTTGTACATCCATTTCAGAAAATAACCTCAGCATGTAAATTTATTCTCAGCAGCTACAGTTTGACGTATAGTCCAACTTAAATGGCTTTTTGAAACCTTTTTAAAGTTTTGTATTGGCATCACAAAACTCCTGTTGCGTCCATTTTTACTGTGTTATTTGATCTAACCTGGAGTCAGTGTGACTTTCAGGATTTACAAGCCAAATTTAAGGGGCAGCAATAAAGAAAAGAAAAAACGAGCTTCATACTGATGGCTGCAAGTCACAGCCTGATAAACTCTGCTCTTTTACTGTGTTTTTCTTACTTCCAGCCATTCCTCATCTCTCTCTCTCTCGCTCTCATGTTTTTTCTGCTTCCCACATGACTTTGTTAAAATGACAATATAAGCAGAAGGTACACATACTTAATTAAGCGACTTTACTTGTTTTCAAGCTCCCTCCTGATTTTGCTTTGTACACAGATGTTTGCTCTGCCCTTTAAAATAAGCATTTTCTCTTCTGTTTCTGGCGTAAACTGGCGGCAAATATTAGTGGGTAAAAAAAAAAAAAGAAAACCAAATAACAGTGAAAAACCATAAAGTAAAGAGAAGAGAAATTTCTTACAAGCTAAAACCAGTTTCTGTTCAGTAGATGTGGATCACGGAGAGAAATAAAATACTCTTCAAGTACCATTAAAGTTCTCACATTCATCACATTAGCAGCTTCACTTTATACATTAGGCCTGTGGAAAAACATGATTTACAGTAAAAAATCTATTGATGTGCAGCGCAGCGTGCAAGGGGGGGAAAAAACCCTAACTGTGCTTAAATCCACATGGTGGCTTCCAGTTTCATGTTAGCAGGACTCACAGCTTGCATTGAGATTCTTACTTGTATAAAACTGCTCTAATTAGCTGGCTAAATGCTGACGAGAGGAAACTTCATCATTTGAGTCAATTACTTTTAGCATTTGTTTTAAAACCACTATTTTGACAATGGAGTGCGTTAGCATGTCTACCACCATGAAGACTCCTGTGGTGTTGGTTGTGACTGAATAGTTGGTGAGGGACCTTTGAATGTCAAGATCAGAGGTGGTGGCATTTGAGGTTTTTTTTTTTTTCTGTTTAAGGTGAATAATTAGCTTATTTCTGAAAAATACATGGTTTTGATCTGGGTGTTTTTGCACGTTAGCCAAATGACAATGCCACGGTTATTTCATCTAAACCAGCTTACATTTTTCTACCCATAAACGTACAGCTTATTCCCACATTTTAACCATTCAGTTTCTTCTGTAAGTTTAATACTTGGACGTCGGTAGTTCTCCAGATAAATGATTTTAAAAATCCAATGTTTATTGACCTTTATTTTATATATAAAAAGCCCTGCATTTTATATAATGCAGGGCTTGATTGAAAATCTTTTTTAAAAACTTGTAGTTCTTATCCCTTTTGTTGACCATCTGACTCTTATGACATAATGACTCTCAGTCAAGCCAACACCTATAAGAGATTTCCTGCTGGTGAATATTTATTAGAGTCACCTAACCACATTTCCCAGCTATAAATGGGAGAAGACTGTTGAAAATGGCTTTAAACCATTGCAGAGTGGAGTGGGCACAATGTTTTTGGTGACAGATAAAAAAAAACAAAAAAACAAGTCCCATAACAAGTGACTCCTTTTCTATCTGGAAAACACTTTTATTACATTTATGTGAAACCTAAATTACAGAGTCACGTCTTTCTGATTAAAATATGTATGCCGTCATGCCCCTAGAGTTCACAGTCAAGTTAATTACAAGTATAATCTGATTAGAGCAAAACAGAAACATTAGAGAAGAAAAAAAGTCTCTTAATGGCAGTAAAAACAGTGTGTGACCAGAAAAGTAGCTCATGTCTTCCTTTGTTTCCTTTCTTGTGCAGAAGTGGTCCAGTGTAAACAGCCCACTTTTCCTTCCACTTATCCCACCAAGAGCTCCGGGGTTCACAGCAGTCGTGCTGACCTACGATCGCATCGAGAGTCTTTTCCGGGTCATCACGGAGATTTCCAAGGTGCCGAGTTTGGCTAAATTGTTGATCGTTTGGAATAATCAGAACAAGAGTCCTCCTGAAGGTGAGTGGATTGGATTGCTTATAAAAACACTTGGGCTGGCGGGTATTAAAGGGTTAGTTCAGATTTGTTGGAATATAGTTTATGTGAAGTTATTTTGTGACGATAGCTTTTTGACTTGTGGGACAGAGATCTCGTCTCAAAGTGAGTTTGTTAGAGGTTAAATAAAAGCAACTTAAACACCTGCTGGATGTAAAACATAGAAAAGATCTAGAAAAAAAAAGCTGCTCCTTTAAAACGTCATATCCTGCGTAACTTTTAGTCTGTTCCATTAATGTTTTTATTATTGTGAACTTTACAAGTTGCTGTTTATCTCACTGCATGTTCTGATATTTTGCCAATAATTAAGATTAAAGTTCAGCTGAGTGCCCCAAAAAGCAGAATATTACCTCTTATTACATTCAGACAGACTTAATAAACCACAAATGAAATCTGTCCTGCTGTACAAAAAGTGCGTCAGTACAAAGACAACTTTGAAGTGTTCCCTTGTGGCTGAGTTGCCTTTTTTTATTGGAGGCATTACCGGCGCCTGGCTGGAACTTTGTGTCCTTTTTGAATTAAAACGAGGCCGTTGACAGGTCACACCCATGGGGCACAAACTTCTTCATTGTTTACAACAAGCCCCGATCTGATGTGTTTACAAGTTCCCGTTTTGTCCCCCTCAACTCCCACCTGTTTTTTTTTTCTTTTTTAATATCATATTTTCACACATATTTAAACTAGATTCTTCTTGTCAACTTGTCTTTACTTGTCTCTACTTGTTTCTGTGTCCTTTACATCAGCACAGCTGCTGAGATTAACTTGCATGGCTGCAGTAATTGCAGAAGACACACATGAAATTCAAAACCAAATCCTCAGAACATGCAGTTCTGGTTTGTTGGGTTTTAAAATGCGGGTTTTCGGTTGAAATGTTTTAAAAATCATATGATAGCCCACAATTCCCTCAGTCTTTCTGTCTTATTCTAGCCTTGGAAACGAAAGAACTCGCAGCAACTAGGGGAGAAATGAAAGGAGAAACCCCAAGCATTTAAGATTTTAGCTCTCCTGACAATAGTTTTTGACAGCAGACCTCAGACGTGGTTAGACACCTGTGGCTTCTCTTATGAGCTGCCAGGCTCCAGTCACTCCATTAATGAGGGACACATTCTGCGTGATCCGTCTGCGTGGCGGTCCGTGCCGTGGACACTGCCCAAGATCTTTGAAATCGTGCCCAAAAAACGCATGGAAAAAAAACCCCGCTGGTGTTCTGCCCCTGCGAGGGATTGTAGTGGTTAGATTTGTACATGCTTGAGGTTTGCGCAACAATGTGAGTCAGTGAAACAAGTTGAACTTTTTGAGATCACTTCTTTCCACTGCCAGTAATCTGTCTGTGATAAATAGCACCATATTTATACACCCTGCTCCAGAAACTGATATTTACAGATTTATAGTTTGTAAATGCATACAAGCACCTGTTAGCTGTTTTTTATTCCTTTTTTTTTTACAGTGTAATATTTTCTCAAATGTCTTATTTTGTTTAGTGACAAGGAAACTAAATATAACTATTGCATCCAAGGTGCTTTTATACTAGTGTGTGTATTTAAACTAGCATTTTTTAAGCACATGTTAACGCTTCCATTTCTTATATTCATTTATTTTAGAGTCTCTTTGGCCAAAGGTCGGCGTCCCTCTAAAAGTGAGAACCAAAGAAAACAAACTGAGCAACCGCTTCTTCCCGTACGACGAGATTGAAACAGAAGCAGTGCTGGCGATTGATGATGACATCATTATGCTAACATCTGATGAATTGCAGTTTGGCTACGAGGTTAGTAACACCGCTTTTCTTTTTAATCCTTCATACATTCTCATCATCCGATGGCAGACTTTGCAGGAATTCTCTTCAAGCTGATCCCAGAGTTTAAAGTCTCTCCAAAATATTACAGTCTCGTTCTCCTCTATTTGGAGATTTGACGGGCTGCTAAATGTGTTTGATGTCGAGAGAAAGATGACAGGTCTGCAGCTGATGCTTTCCATATCCACATACCTGCCAGCTCCAGTGCCTGCTGCATGTTCACCTGAATGCATTTAGATCCTATTTGATAAAATTGTGCTCAGTTTAAGGGTAATTACATAAAATTGCGGGCAAAATTGGTGACAACTCTCCCTGCTCTTGGTAACAGGATCAGATTTTCTGCTGCTGTTGGGATATTTAGTCAGTCAAAAGAGTTTTTTCTTTTTTAGCATATGTTCTTCTAAGCTTTCCATCTCTCACTGCAGTTGTGATTTTTGGCTCAGAGATGAAAAAGCCGACATTGACATATGGAAGATTGAGGCTAAACTGTTCATCCTGAGCTTTTAAACTCTTTTAGAGTCTGGATCATTCATGTGTTAACTGAAGTGCTTCACTTGAGCCGAACCTGTCAGACAATCTGTCTCCGATCCTGCTGTTTCCACAGGTGTGGAGGGAGTTCCCCGACAGGCTGGTGGGCTACCCGGGCCGGCTGCACCTCTGGGACCACGAAATGGGAAAGTGGAAGTACGAGTCGGAGTGGACCAATGAGGTTTCCATGGTTCTGACCGGCGCTGCCTTTTACCACAAGGTAGCTGGTTGAAACGATCAGCTGCTTAGGCTTTAAGTGAAAACACGTAGGCTTCACTCAGGTGCTTTCCGCAAGTGTCACATGCCTTTACGTTTTGAATTATCTCTGCGATGTGAAAAACAGACAGAGTTGTTAGGTTGTCCAGATAATATGGATTTCTTTATAAAGTGCAGAGTGTTGCAAGATTTGGAAACATTTTACATAATCTTAAAGGAAGGTTTAAAAAAAGAAGAAGAATTTGCTGTTAAATTTTTTCATACTTCAGGATATTTGATAGTTGCTGTGTTTTGGCTGCTGCAGCTCTGTGTGATGTTAGTTCTCTTCCACACAGACAGTCATATCAGGTTAGCCAAGAGGTGAGACTTATCCATCACAGAATCTTGACATTTAACATGAGGCTCTAAAATTTACCGCAGAACAATATCTAAAGCAACTCTTCTGACTCTGGAGAGCAATAATTCTGTAAATTTTGTAAGCAGAAGAAGGCGAGAAACGGAGGAAGGCATATTACGTTTTTTTTAGAATGAAGCAACTTGAAGATTATCCGTTACTTTAGCAAACTCCTTCACATGAAAATATCTCCTGGAAAAATACATAAACTTATGCAAGAATTGTTTGCTTAAAGTGGAGAGTCATTGTTCTCAGCAGACACACACACACACACACACACACACACACACACACACACCCCAACAAAAGTGAGGAGATGTTATAAGATGATTGGAGCCTCTGTCAGTCACCAAACTCATAATGAAGCAGCCAAACACAACACAAACCACTGACGTAGATTCAGTAATGTGTGAGGTATGATATTTATTGACAGTTTATGTTAGGACACTTTTAGTAGGAGGAGTTTTTCTTTATAATGTGAAACCACTTTGGAGAAATACATTTTACAAAAGTACGTTGTTTATTTACTTTCCATTTGAAAGCTGGTTTTGCTTTTATTATTCTTTTTAAAAACCAGTAAAAAATATATATATATATTTTTTTTTTTCAGAAATTTACATTTTCATTATAAATTGTTGAAATTTTATTCCTCCGCCAATGGATTACACACTTCAGATATAAAAAAAAAATAACTGTCTATTTATTTAAACTGAAAGGGCATCAATCCTAGGAATGTATTTTTTAATGCACTTTCTGTTTTTAACTCTCACAAACTTTCTTCAGTAACCAAAGTTGAGATTTTGTGTGTGTGTGTGTGTGTGTGTGTGTGTTTTCAGTACTTCAATTATTTGTACACATACAAAATGCCCGGAGACATTAAGAACTGGGTGGACGCTCATATGAACTGTGAAGATATTGCGATGAACTTCCTCGTGGCAAACATCACAGGCAAAGCCCCAATAAAGGTGAGTTCTTCGCCGACGCTTTCTGGCTGCTTTGGGTCCAGACGGAGGTTTCAGCCTGAAATTGCAGAGAGGCATTTCTGGGTCTGATCAGCTCTCACCCTTCAACATCACTGCCCCCCCCCCCCCCACTTTTTCCTCCTTACTCAGACTCCCCCCAGGTGCAGGGGCCCTGAGCTTAAGCCCGACCTTAACCTCCCTTATCTGCGTGTCACTCACTGGCACTCCCCCTTTGAGCATTTTTTAAGCTCACCAGGGCTTACGCATACCCTTCTGTCAAATCCTTGGATCCACACTTCCCTCCACCTGCGCACGTGGTCCTTCCTCCCGCCGCATCTCCTAACAGGTTTCCCCTGAAGACACTTTGTCATTCCAATCGCGCCATCATTCCTCCCTGCATCGCTCACTTTCCTCTGCAAACTCATACATTCACAAGTTCAGCGTGTTCTGTTTGGTCTGAGCCAGTCCAATAAAATAAGAACCAGCTTCTGTCAGTGCATCAGACAACTAACAAATCACCAAAGTGTGCAAATATCACAGCTTGACTTTGCTGTGTTTCTGTGTAGGTGACCCCAAGGAAAAAGTTCAAGTGTCCTGAATGTACTGCTATTGACGGCCTGTCTCTGGATCAGACACACATGGTGGAGAGGTACGGTCATTTTAGAAATGTGGTAGTGGCTTGGATTTGAATCATTTCTGTCTTCCATGAACAGGCCATGGATAGAAACCTCACTGGTGGTTGTTATCGTTTGATTGAACACTTCTTTTAAACGTGATTGGAAAACTACTTCCTCCATATTTGTAATCATTGCTTGAAAGAAAATGTACGTCTTCCTCTGTAGGTCTGAGTGCATCAACAAGTTTGCGTCGGTTTTTGGAACGATGCCTCTGAAGGTGGTGGAGCACCGTGCAGATCCAGTGCTCTATAAAGACGACTTTCCAGAGAAACTCAAGAGCTTTCCGAACATCGGCAGCCTGTGACCCAGCTGCAGAAAACGAATGGACATCTCAGAGTCTCAGCACTGCGAGAGAGTCACCGTCAGCTACGTCTTTCAAGTCAAGATGCCAGTTCGAACCACAAAATCTACTTTGCCCATCTCATTTGAGTGACTTTCGGTTACTTGTGGGAACTTTAATTTACAGCACAGAACAATCCTGAATGCTAAACACATTGTCAGCTGAAAATATTAGATGAGACACAATGTTATTTTAGCAACACTGACGTTACATGAAGTGCCGCTGAGTTCGGTGATCAGAGTCGGGTTAACTTGGTCTCATTGTTACTGTTTTGGAGCCGAACACTTGAGCCTCCATCTTATCTGGATTCAGTTCGCGTGTTGTAACTCCGTATTTTTCACAGCGGTACTGTATGATATAACTTACAATGTTTTAAGAAACATTTTCTCATATTTTTCCTATTTGATTTTCCAAAAATCAGACACACACTTTTTCAGCTGTAAAGCAGGAAAGGAAAAAAATATATATAAGTGATAAATGAAGCAGACATATCTGTAGGCTTTATTCACACAGTGTGATGGATTGTGATGACACACAGATGTTGAACAGTAAAGGTTTCATAATGTGTTCTGTATTACACAATCATGTCAGACCATTAGACAAAGCTGGTGTCATAAATCTAATATTTAGAGATCACTGCTGGTTTTGGGGGAAAATATCTGAGCTACTGATTTTATTTTTTTTTTGTAAATGTACTTTTATACTGTCAGAGCAAACATTTCATTCTATGTATATATCTGTCTTAATATAGGTATCTATTTTTGTGTGAATTATGCACCAAATCCTTTCAATTATGTTTGATCACTTCATCTGCAGATCAGTAATCATCTGCCATACATTCAACCATTAATAGTAATAATTATTGGACAGTTCTGAGATTATTTCCATGAAGTTATTTTTTTTCATTTCTTATGCTGATGTTTTATTGTTAGTCATTTCATGTCAGTATGTAAACCGTAACGCTGAGAATGTTGCAGTTTTTAAAATGTCCCATCGTGTTTTTGTTTTCCCTTTGTTTTCACTATGCCATTGAATTTCATGTGACTTTATAATACACTACAAGTAAAACCAAGTTGTGACTGGTGTGTTTTAATGCTGGTTTTCCACTTTTTTGAGTCTGTTAAAGGATAAAGAAGGTTGTTTTTTGTTTTTTTCCATGACTACAGTTAGTCGTCGTGAAAATCCAGAGCGTGACTCTTTGTGACTGGTGCACCATTCCTTCCAATCCGTCACCAACGTGTAATGTACGCTTACTAATCCACCCTGTTCAATGTCAGCAGTTCAGAATGGTGCTGTTCATATTTTTATCAGCTTCAATTAGCGTGAGTCTCCGAGCAGGTTGGGATCTCATTTCAGCGCTCGTGTCTCTTGAAATGCAGAAGGATTTCAGGATGTGACCAAGTGGACGACAACGGTTTTGGCAAACTGGAGCACATTCATGGGTTCTTAGTGGAGGTAGACAAGTTATTCCTAAGCTTCATTATTATTGAAAGCCTTTTCTGAAAGCTAAAAGTGACACATGATCTCCGAATATTAATAGAAGAAATGCTGGGTTTTTATTTGCTTTGTATGACATTAGTAGAGTAATTTGTGAGTATTTGGGTCACTGAGCGACTCTATGGAACAACCACAAAGCTGCAGTTGTGCAACTACTTTTGTTTTTTTGAAAAAACTCTAGGCAGTATTTTGAAAAGTGTTATTTTTACTATCTAAAATAAGACTATAAGTCTAAACATTAAAAAGCGTTGTTTTTTTTGTTTGTTTGTTTTTCAGGCGTACACTGTGCAGACTTTGAAATGAACACGAACTGAATGCTGAAGTCATATAAATAAGCCAGATATTTAACCTTTTCATATTTAGTGTAAGGGCAAAGTTCATTCACTTTGTATTTTCCGAACTTCTTAGCCTGTTTTACATAAATGTTCCTTCCAGAGTCAATACATCCTCATTCACATGTTGAACCAAATATTATAACAATGAGCATTTCTATAAAACAAAAATATTATCGAGGAATGAGTTCCACTGACCTACTTCTACGTATTTCTGTCATTTTTCATCCCTCAAGTCTAAAGTATAAAAACTAACAGAAACTTAAAAAGAAAAAAACTTGAAATTATGTTGTGCTTAGAAAAAAAACCCCAACATGCTAAGAAACTTTTTTTTTTCTTTACTGCAGAAATAGTTAACGCTGTTGAAATATTTTCAAGAATATACTCCATTATGTAGGCAGGGCTGTTTATTATCTAGTGATACATAAAGGCTATTTAAACTGATAAGATAATCTCTAATCACTGCATAAAACAGTTTGTTCTCATTTGTTTACCATTTTTTATTTATTTATTTTTTACCTGTAATACAAGTGTGTGTCTGGCCATAAGAGTTAGAAGAATTTGTCGTCATCCTCCAGGAGCTGCCCAGCAGATGGCAAGGAAACGGTGAAACACTTTACTGACCTGAACTTCCTGGATATTTAACATTTAGAAATTTTGGATGGGATTAAATGAATATAAACCAGTTGGGTCAAAGCTGGATTTTTACATTTATTTTGTCTTGACTAAAACAACCAGATTCCATGGAAGAACTCTTGAGTTTTATCTATAATATTCCTCAGTAACATGCTTCTTATTGCAGGGATGTTGGTTTACGCTCCCTCCCCCCTCAATATGCACCTCAAATTACGTCATGTGCACCAGAGATTTCTCTATTTTCTAAACAACTGCAAACAGATTTTTGAACCCAGAGCTCAGGATATTTAAGTTACCCAACTACATAAAAGAAAGCAGGTTTTGGTGATATTAGTAGAGTAGCATCTTTGATATGTGGCATTAATGTTTAACTTGCAAATAACATGGATGTCTAAACAAATATTTCTGTTCGTATATGAATCAGCTTGAATAAATTAGCCACGATTTCCAGTTTTCTGGTGTAAATTCCCATAATCCCCAGGGAAAGTGTCTGGGTATTTATTGCCATACATTTTAAGTACACCATCAACCCACACAGATGTGAGAAAATGACTTGGATGTCCAAGGTAATAAACTCTCACCAAGGTGCAATAACTTATAGTACTTTAATCACTCAAACAACACATGCGAGAGCAGATTTCTTAACTCAAAAGGTAGCTTAAAGCTACAAACATGGAAAAAAAACTTTTAAAGAACATGAGTAGACAAATTCTGTTCATTCATCTTTGAAAATACATGTATACACCTCCAGGTTGTTTTTTTTTTCCGTTTTTTTTTTTTTTTAAGTATATTCAAAGAGTACTGAAAAGCATGTTTAAATACTTGATAAACTGATTCAAAATATTGACTAAACATCCATTTAATTACAATTCCAAGAGCTACGACACATCAGTCTTCTCTGCATGTACAACAATGCATCAACATATATTCATCATATAGTTACTCCTATGCTGATTACTTGACTTCAGTAGTATCAGAAACTGAGAAAACTGGGAAAATGGAATCATTCGTGGTAGAATCAATGCAGCGGACAGGATGAAGCTTCCTCGTATTAATAGACAAATAAAAAATACAAAAAAAAAAAAAAAAAAAAAGACAAGCAAAACCAAATTCTTCAAAAAGCTAAAACACTGAGTATGTGTTCTGTAAACCTGAGCAACTCAGTGCTGTAGCGTTTGCATGCTCTGTGCAGATGGACAGTCTTCATTAAACCAGATGCTCCTGTCCATCCTGACACACAATATGGTGGTCTTCGGCCTCCACATGGCTCTGTGTTAATTAAAGAGCCTTGTGCGGCCCTCGGACCCTGCAGCTGATTATTGGCTGCAGCATTGGGGCTGTTGGACGTGAAGGAAGCGACCCCAGGAAGAGGCGCGGTGCATCGTGTGTGAAAGGGGCGAATCGTTTGAAAGCGGAGCTGTGACAGCTGAAGCTGGAAGCATGTGTGAGGCATGTTTGTTTTGCATTTACCCCTCGACCGCAGCTGTGTGCACCGTCCTTTTCCCAAAACGCCGGAACACACAGACGCCCTTCGCTCAACCTCTCAGCTAAAAGCGGGACGGGGGGACAGGAGGCACCTCATTTGTCTTCCATGCAAACACATATCCTACCATTTTCACCACAGTTTAGCATAATGCAGATAATTTTAGAGGGATCTCTGCTGACAGTAACCAACCAAACAAAAGGGAAAGTTGATGTGGTTCACTTTAGGGAAATCCTCTGCTTTTCGACCTGGTGCAATATTTCAAATTGACTCTTTGACAAAACATCTTTGTTATGCTTTAAGCCTACGTTTAGCTTCCTGGTCACAGGAAATATGTCTTATGCTGTAGAACTATGGAAAACTTCATTTGCTATTTCTGTCTCTAGAGGAAGCTGTTGCCAGGGGGGAAACTCATCCTATATGAACGATATCCTCAGTGAGATCCGAAACATTTTATCTGTCTATTTGCCTTCCAAGTAATACCTGTTGTTTTACTGTACAACTAGTTTTAAATAATTGATAAGCAGTCTGAGTATTCACTGAAGGTACACACACCCTTGTAAAAAACAAAACAAACAAACAAAACAACTGTAATAACTGGTGAATTTAACTAAAGTTCTTTTCAACAATGACAAAAAAAATAAATAAGTTAATTGTTCTAGGCTCTCTTATTGATGCCTTACTGTCCTTTTGACCGTTTTAAATTTCTTTTAACATAAAAATAATAATTTCTTTGAAACAAAAATGTGTTATGCTAAATTTTAAAATTTGATATAGCACAAAATTTTATTTCTGTTTCTTTGTCATAATGATGAAAACATCAGACTTTTAGTCAATAACAGGCCACAATTTTCTTTTTTTTAAGCAGGCACCGGTATGATTAGGCTTCACTAAAATTATCAGCATGTCGAGAAAGGACAATGTTTTACAATGAGGAGTCTACCAAAAATATGGCAAAGGTGGTATCATGCTGTGGGCCTGTGCTTGAAACAGGTACCCTGTTGTCAGAAGCATAGATTTGACAGTACAAAAACATAATGACTTAACAGAAAACTTTATTAAAACCTGCTCCATGTTTAGTATTATTAGATGCTGTTCTACAACGATCTTTTGCACAGATATTTTTGGTTCTGTGCTTCTCTTCAGTGGTAACATTTCGAACCAGGACTGTTTATTGGTCCAATTGTTCTTGGACTGTGATGAGCTCTTTTATCTTTCCTCCTTTCTTGAAAGACATTGAATCTAACAATAGCATCCATTCTAAAACTCTGCTAGAATGTTTTTCTTATATGAACTTCAAAGATTTAGAATTTTTGACAGGTTTCTTCTTCATGCTTCACCTGAAATGTAGATTATTATTAATAACTGTGTTACTGTCACATGGCCATCCCCCTATAAGATGTTTTTCAATTAACAGTGACTTTGATGCTTTAAGTATTTTGAGCAGAGCAACTAGAGAAAAGAAGATAAAAATACCATCTGTATGTTCAGCTTTGACAGCTAGACACATTCTGGCTGAAAATTCTAAAAAGTTAAACAAATGGCAAAGTCCTTGAAAAGCTTCAAAGTGTCAACGCACACTTTGTAATCTGGGCCGGTCTTCTCTCTTTCAAACACGGGGATTGCTTGTTTTCTGTGTTATTCCTGACAGTCTGACTGAGGAGGGCGCTTCCTTCTCCGAAGCAAGGCCAGGGGCTCAGTTGAGTCCCCTTTTTAGACAAAATGTCCTTTTTGTTTCAAGGCTCTCAGGTCCAGAGAGCAGCAGGCCTGCTGTGCACCTCCCCTCTCACTTCCTCGTCCATCCCTCCTCTCTGCGGCCATCAGCAGACTTACTCAGTGCAGCAGGTGGATCTCCCATCTCGATCCGACTCAGCCTGGTCATGTTCCACCCACTCGACATTTAAATGTGAGGAAACAGAATAACTTATGGGTTTAGACGTTCCTAAACTCGCAGTATTTGCTGAAAAACTGTGCTGAAAGCGAGGAGCTGCTCGACGTGATGGATGTGCAGGACGATTTTCTGAAACTCGTTTTTCTTTACAGCCCCAGTATTTCAGAGGTCTAATGCTAAAAATATTGTTGATGGAAAAAAAGAAATTATTGTGGCTTAAAAAAAAAGAACAATGACTTTCTGTTTCTTTTTTTTTTTGGGTTGAAATATTTGTAAAAGTACAAAGAATTCAAAAAAACAAAATCCTACAAAAAAATTAAATAAAGTAAAAATGAAAACAGCACCAAACTCCACACTGCATACACTTATAGCAATGCACAGACAATAAACGTGCATGAGTGTTTGAAATCCTCCTCTCTGTCTGTCTTTAGGACTACACAGCATTTCTTTCCATCAGGCTTTCACACTGACTTTCCTCCAGCAGAGGCACTGAAACCTGGCAAACCTCTGCCAGCCACCTCCGATGCTCATAATCATTTTTGTTGCAGCATTTATAAAGGCAGTCACTTCTTTCCTGCAGAGTTTTGAATTAAGTGCCCCTAGTCTGCGTAATATATCCCCCATCCAGCGTGCATCGGCGCATCATGTTGCCCAAGAAATGGCAGCACTGTGCTCTTTGGCTTTCATACGCAAAGCAGCAATACTGGGAGGACTTGCGGTCGGGATCCATGTTGAGATCGTACGTGTTGATGCCCGCAGCCATGCCAGGAGAGCCGCCAAACAGGCTGCCCATGTGAGGCTGTCCGACATGTCCCCCGGGACTCGATACGCCCAGGAAGTCAGAGACCCCACTGGCAGAGTGGGGGTGTGGGGTCATGCATGTGGTCACGGTGTCGCAGGGAACAACGCAGCCAGGGACGGGATGCTGCACTGCTGCCGCCGATCCAGGAGGGGTTCTGGATCTGAAACATTGTCAAAAAGGTAGAGGTAGAGGTGTCATAAAAAAATATATATAAAATTATGATGTTTGATTTGTCATATTCAGTCAGAATGATTACGCCTCTCTGCTGGTTGTTCATACAGTAATCTTATGTTATGGCCTTCACAATAATGAGTAAGAGAGCGAGCCTGAGTCTGATTCAGCCATTACTGAGCCACGCGACTAAAGAAGCTGTTCAAAGGACACATTTGTTCCTTGCTGGCTGCAAAACAAATTGCCCCTTTAGGACAGCAAAATTTATCTTTATGTTAATCTTGCTTTAGCCACACTTTTTTTTTCATTGAGCGAAACAACAAAGTCTGTAAGAAAGTATGCAACGGGACATGAGAGAGTTTAGAAGGAAAGCCCATACAGTTAGGGCCAGAAATATTTGGACAGTAACACAATATTTGTGAGTTGGGCTCTGCATGCCACCGCATTGGATTTGAAATGAAACCTCTACAACAGAATTCAAGTGCAGATTGTAACGTTTAATTTAAAGGGTTGAACAAAAATATGTGATTGAAAATGTAGGAATTGTACACATTTGTTTACAAACACTCCACATTTTAGGAGCTCAAAAGTAATTGGACATATAAACATAACCCAAACAAAAAAGTTTTTTCTCAATATTTTGTTGTGAATCCTTTGGAGGCAATCACTGCCTTAAGTCTGGAACCCATGGACATCACCAAACGCTGGGTTTCCTCCTTCTTAATGCTTTGCCAGGCCTTTACAGCCGCAGCCTTCAGGTCTTGCTTGTTAGTGGGTCTTTCCGTCTGAAGTCTGGATTTGAGCAAGTGAAATGCATGCTCAATTGGGTTAAGATCTGGTGATTGACTTGGCCATTGCAGAATATTCCACCTTTTTGCTCTCATGAACTCCTGGGTAGCTTTGGCTGTATGCTTGGGGTCATTATCCATCTGTACTGTGAAGCGCCGTCCGATCAACTTTGCAGCATTTGGCTGAATCTGGGCTGACAGTATATCCCGGTACACTTCAGAATTCATCCGGCTACTCTTGTCTGCTGTTATGTCATCAATAAACACAAGTGACCCAGTGCCATTGAAAGCCATGCATGCCCATGCCATCACGTTGCCTCCACCATGTTTTACAGAGGATGTGGTGTGCCTTGGATCATGTGCCGTTCCCTTTCTTCTCCAAACTTTTTTCTTCCCATCATTCTGGTACAGGTTGATCTTTGTCTCATCTGTCCATAGAATACTTTTCCAGAACTGGGCTGGCTTCTTGAGGTGTTTTTGGGCAAATTTAACTCTGGCCTGTCTACTTTTGGAATTGATGAATGGTTTGCATCTACATGTGAACCCTTTGTATTTGCTTTCATGGAGTCTTCTCTTTACTGTTGACTTAGAGACAGATACACCTACTTCCCTGAGAGTGTTCTGGACCTCAGTTGATGTTGTGAACGGGTCCTTCTTCACCAAAGAAAGTATGCGGCGATCATCCACCACTGTTGTCTTCCGTGGACGCCCAGGCCTTTTTGAGTTCCCAAGCTCACCAGTCAATTCCTTTTCCTCAGAATGTACCAGACTGTTGATTTTGCTACTCCAAGCATGTCTGCTATCTCTCTGATGGATTTTTTCCTTTTTTTCAGCCTCAGGATGTTCTGCTTCACCTCAATTGAGAGCTCCTTTGACCGTATGTTGTCTGGTCACAGCAACAGCTTCCAAATGCAAAACCACACACCTGGAAACAACCCCAGACCTTTTAACTACTTACTTGATTACAGGTTAACGAGGGAAAGGCCTTTTGAGTTACTTGCAGCCTTTGGAGTCCATTGTCCAATTACTTTGGTCCCTTGAAAAAGAGGAGGCTCTGCATTACAGAGCTATGATTCCTAAACCCTTTCTCCGATTTGGATGTGGAAACTCTCATATTGCAGCTGGGAGTGTGCACTTTCAGCCCATATTATATATAAATTGTATTTCTGAACATTTTTTGTCAACAGCTAAAATAACAAAACCTGTGTCACTGTCCAAATATTTCTGGCCCTAACTGTATATGCGCTTTGGAGAGATTGATAAGGTGTGCACTGTGTCTACAATCAGGGTTTCAAAAGCAACTGCATCAAGGAAATGAACTACAACTGCTGCGTTCCTTGAATTAGGCCACTTTCAAACCAATATCGGAAACCTGGACAAGTTGCCGGTCCATTATAAGCATGGAACATTGTTGATATTTATCACAATATTATGCTGTACTGGGATGTACCTGTAATATTTTAAGACATCCCTTGCTAACCTAAAGACTTGCTAAAAGGTTTTATCGGCTATTCAAAAGTTGAATCAAAGGTGAGTATGTTGCCGTCAGAACTCATAGCAGCAAACTGCAGCCAGCTAATATAAATAAAGTTGATGTCTGAGCCACAGCGCTTGGCACAACTCTATTTTAAAATGATATTTTGATGTTTTCAAAAAAACTTGGGCTTCACTTGAACATTTGTTTTTCAAAATCCTACATCCGCTGAGTTGGACCATTCTTGGCTGAACATAAAGCCATTGATTGATTGCTAAGCTTTTTTTCTAGCTATAAAAAGAAGACCAAGATTGGCAACATAAATCAATTCAAAAGTGACAACAAGACTGACCAAACTTGAACTCAACTATTCCATTCTTATTAAAACAAAAATCTCTTGCGCAGACTCCTGTTAGCACTCAATAAACCAAATCTATCTGTTGCATTTTGAGCACGATTTAACATGTTGCTCCTGTACCTGTGCGTAGTTCTCAGGACGCGTTAGGAGCGGCAGCTCGTAAGCAGTTGAGAAATGTGTTCGGACCTGCTGCATCTGACCAAATCGTTCCCTCTTCCTCCACTTCGCTCTCCGGTTCTGGAACCACACCTGCAAATGGAAAACAAAAGTTTACACATCTTTGAAGAGAGCAAGAAGTTTGAGGTGAAGTTAAAATGAGACTGGAATAGCAGAAATGTAGTGTTACTAAAACCCAAACACACTTTTGCTTGAGATCAAAAGGAAGGACTTTTATCTGGATGTTTTAATTGGGAATCTGATTCTTATGAAAAAAAAAAAAAAAACCCACAACCTTAGTGTGAACTCACAGACTCAAAATTGCAACTCAGAGGCAATTAAAGCTGTGTGAGTGTGACTGAGGCGGAAAAGGAAGCGGATGATTTCGAAACAAATTGCTACAGAAATTTACATGTAGTTTGTAGCTCTAAAATCATCTCACCAATGCGTATTTGTTGTCTGACCACAGAGTGTGTGTTTTATCTTCCATAATTGCCTTTGACATCTAAATCTCATTGTGTTTACTGCAAAAATTTGTGTGTTTGGCTTTCTAGTGGAGAATCTGAAAGTAATCAAAATGTGTTTTTTTCTCTTGCGCTGTAATCATCTACCTTTTTTTTTTGTGCAAGCAAATCTAAACATCTAAATGTAAACATTTGATTTTATTGTCTCCTGAAAATGTCTCTTCCATTGATGTTACCAACCAGACTATTTTTCTGGTGCCCTCCTGATATCGTGCAAAAAGGGGGAATGGAAAAGTGAGATAGGATGATAATTGGTGTTTGTTTGGATCTTCCCTTTTAATTTCCTGAAGTCTAAAACCTCTGGCTTTGAGTCACGGTCTTCTTCTAAATTACGAAGGCACGCCGATTTGAGGCCATAATCCGTCTTTCCTTGATGTTTGATATGTCTTCTTTTGAGCCTAATCATCACCACCCAGTCGAAGACTGCTGTCTCCGAAGGTCACTTTATGGATTTACTGTAATGATCGAGCTCGTCACGTTCTTCCTCAAATCCTGAATCCATGGACATCTCAGTTTTTGCCCTGCTCCAAGTCTGTTGGCTATTATGCTCTAACATATTTCTATGTTTGCACACACTGCCTTGTGACAGTAATTGGTAAAGACCTTGACAGCTTAAGTAGCTGGTAGACTCTCAATGAGCCTTTATTTATGTTACTGCTCCAGAGAGAAAGAGCAGAGAAATACCAAACTGGCCCCAGCAGGAGGGCTGTACGGGGGCTGAAAACACTTTGAAGTGAGAGCGCGGCTCGGAGGATTGATAACCTGCCTCTGCTGTCACTCATTTCACCTTCCAAACCAAGTAGGAGAGGAAAAAAAAAGAGGGGCTGCTGAGCCTGGCTTCAGTTTTCCAGCTGCCATAAAACTCCAACAACATAACAGGAGGATGTCTGACCAGTGTTTATGTTCATCAGCTATTTTTGTTCTCATTTTCTGCAAAAAAAAAAATCTCTAAGTGGAGAACTTGATATTCCCTGTAAGGTCATCAGAGGGCACCTGCGGACTGAGGTTAAAGAGATACTATGAATGTTTACTGTTTTCATTTGAAACTCGTTAAAAATGCAGTTTATCCAGGAAGACTTGCAGCAGTGCTTTCCTGTGCTGTTTGTTGTAAACTTTTACCGATGCATTAGATTCTGCAACATATGCTTGCATAGTGTTTTGTTTTTGTTCTGGAGAATGGAAGTAATGGTGTCGTGCTTATAGTGCTAAAGATCAAACATTCGTCTGGTTTACAAAAAGCTTAATAGTGCTAGTCTGTCTGTGCTAAAATCATTTAAATTTAAAATGAGGATGACTTAAAAACACCATTTTTCTTCTTGTTGCTAAAATGGTTTCACATTCTATCTCAGTTTAGCAGACAACTTGACATCATAATGTAACATTACGGATATTCCTCGGCCCTTTGAGATGCGCTCTGACCGTCTCGCCTCCTCTGTCTCTCTGTAGGTGGGATCTGCGTCTCATCTTTCATCTATAAACTCATGTGGACACCTGTGTTTCCCCGGAGGACTCCACGTCCGATGCCGTCTCGGCTCCCTGGACGTATCAGAGCTGCGAATCTCAGAGATGTGACGATACTGAAGCCCCTGACCTGTGACCCCTGACCTTCACATGTAGTGTATGTGGCTCAGATCTGAATTCACCTTCTTCCTTTGAAACCCTGAGACTAAAAAAGCAAACAACACCGGGCCCTGGCGTTGTTTAACAAAAAGGTGCCCTGTTATTTGATGTGCGTGTATGTGAAACATGAACCACTGAGGTCTGTTTGCTCTCCTTTCTTTTGTAAGAAAAAAGCTATATGTTTTGGAGAATGCTTTTTATCAGTAGTTTAGGGTGCTCTAACATTTCTTTGCTCCAGATGCTGACCTGATGAGTTTTTTTGTTTCTTTTCTTTCCCTCTTACATGCAAATTACCTGGATGGAGCACAAAACCCTATCCTGTGGCTGATAAGGCATCTTGTGCCTTTTATCTTTTTAACCTGAGTGTTTAAGTGGACTGCTGGAGAGCCGACGACTGTAAAGCTGCATCCATCTGCAGCGGGCAGGTCAGTGATAGCACAACTGCAGAGCGGCATGCCTTTAGACTCTGGAGTGAGTTACGGCCCTGGAGGCTGCACAGATTTCCTGTATTTCTCGCTCACCGTTTCAGCTCATCATCTGGGTGATTGTTTTTGATCAATCTCTTATCTCATCTAAATTGACGGACACGGAAAGAACGAAGCCAGAATTTAACATATTAGGCTTGTTTTGGCCAGAACTTGAAGTAAGCTGATAACAGTCGCTGACGAACCAGCGGAAGCCCATGGGAAAAGTTTCACACCTCCTGGAGACCACAGCGGGGACACATTCTTGTCTGAACGGGTCTTTAATGAAAGAAAAACAAGGAAAATCCAAGGGCTTTGGTTCTCATCCACATGCACCACACAAAGACATGGAGCAGATATGGTGGAGGTCTCTTTCACTCTCTCTGATGTGGGAATGCATTACAGCAGTTGTGACCAGTTTCTAAACTAATTGAGCCTAAAAGGTCAAGGGGCGCTGTGAGCCTCAGCTCATGGAGAACCCGACAGCAAGAGATCTTGCAATTTCAGGAAACTAAACTTTGAAAGTGCAAAGGGATAAAGCCATCAAGACAATCCTAAGGAAAAACATTGCAGAGCCATGTGTTGATGAAAGTCTGCTCTCTTTAAACTGCACATATGAGGCCCAGGCAGCTCAAACCTCAGCCCCCTGATCCACCCTGGGCCCCCTGGCCTCTGCAAGCTCTCACTCCCCCACACTCTCTCTCCCCACTCCCACATTACTAGATAAATCTCTCATGTTGTTCTGAGAGTGACTTTATCTCTGCAGATGCTGAAGGGTGCAGGAGGTTTTGTTGTTTAAAGCCTTTTCTCTTCAGAGCTTTTTTTTTTAAAGCATTGTGTCCAGAATAAATGTATCCAACGTCCATTTAGTTGTGTTGGCTCTTACCTGCACTCGGGCTTCGGTCAGGTCAGTCCTCAAAGCGAGCTGCTCCCGGGCGTAAACGTCAGGATAATGCGTCTTTTGAAAAACCTTCTCCAGTTCCTCCAGCTGATAGCTGGTGAAGGTGGTGCGGTTGCGTCTCTTCTTGCCCTTGTTGCTTTCGCCACCATCGACTTTTTCCAGCGGACTCGCCAAGTCATTGCTCGGCGACCTTTCAGAGGCTGCCTTGACACCTTGGTCCTTCACAGCCAAGTATCTGGAGTCCATTCCAGGTGGATCAGAGTCTGGGGCCAAATCAGAGTCTGTCAGGCCTGAATTGTCCTTACCTGCAGAAACAGGAAGTGTGTGAAACTCTTAAAAGTGTTATTCTTAAGAAGAATGATTGGACTGGAACAACTCTTTGTAAATTTGTTGCTATTAAACTGAAGATAAATTAGGAAAAAGGGGAGTATTTATAAGAGTAATGTATTGTAGTGGGGAAAATACAGTGTGATTTTCAGAAGACAGAAAGACGCAGAAGAATATATGTGTTTGATACATTTGGTCCTCAAAGGTATTTACATTTTTCAGGTGACCTTATTGGCCTGAGTGCTCAGTATATATATTTATATATATATATATAAATAACAACATGGGAACGACATAACCAAGTGGCAGGCATAGTGTACAGAAACATCTGTGCAGAATATGGACAGAATATGGACAAGATCAAAGTGGGAAACACCCCCAAAGGTGGTGGAGAACGCCAGAGCTAAGATCCTGTGGGACTTCCAGATCCAGACAGACAAAATGGTAATGGCAAACCAACCAGACATTGTCGTAGTGGATAAACAACAGAGGAAAGCCGTTGTGGTAGATGTAGCAATACCAAGCGACTGCAACATCAGGAAAAAGGAGCACGAGAAACTGGAGAAATACCAGGGCCTCAGGGAGAACTGGAGAGGGCCTGGAAGGTGAAGACCACAGTGGTGCCTGTGGTCATCGGGGCCCTCGGGGCAGTAACCCCCAAACTGGAGCAGTGGCTACAACAGATCCCAGGAACAACATCAGACATCTCAGTCCAGAAATGTGCAGAGATACTGCGCAGGACCCTCAAGCTCCCAGGCCTCTGGTAGAGGACCCGAGCTCAGAGTCAACACTTTTCTTGCCTTGGCTCACATGCAAAAATCTGCTGAATATTTTGGTCATAAATCCAACAAAATCTTCCAATGAAAATCTCTGTGTGATATTTTTTTTGATCTTGGCCCATCATAAAGAATTTTCCTCCTGGGAATAGACATGGATCATCTAATTAGCTCTATCTAACGTCAAACAAAAGAAACAAGGGGTCTCCTTTGACCAAACTTCCAGGAACGAGCCTCAGACAGAGCATTCAGATATAATGATTTCTTTGAAGGACCAATATTTTAATTTATGAGGTCTGACGGGGCGGAACAAAGACGTTTCTCACTCTGTGTGATGAAACTTTGTTGTGAAATGTGTTGCCACAGTGTTTAGTGTGTGCTTGTAAAACTGGCTGCTTAACCCAGTAGACTACAGATGTTTTTTCTATGACTGACTGAACGTTGCAGATTTCACTCCATGACTAAGACTTCTTAACCATCAGCATTGTCCTCAAGACACACTCATAAACACCTCTCTTTTTTTCTCTCCACTCAGTTGCTGTTTGTCAGTGAAATATCTCAGAGTGCCTATCGAGTCATTTCTGCACCACTATTGTCACAAATAATTGACCAGTTTCTACAGATCCAAAAATTTTTAAAAATCTCTCACTCTCCCTGTCGATTGCGCTCACATTTGATTTCTTCATGGCTGCAGATTTCGCTGTAAAACCTCAAGCCGCTCTCCGATCATAATTTCCACAGTTTTGCTTCTGCCAGTATTCTGTTGTGAACTATCTGCTCCTTTGGAAACGTTGCCTGATCCAGAACAAAGTTGGAAAAAAAGGACTGCTAATGCATCGTCTCAGTAAAACACATTCCCATGTAGGACATGGGAACAGGCTGCTCAGTGAGAGCTGTCTCACTCAGTTTCAGTAACACGACCTTTTATCAAATTATTTTTAGGACTGCTGACATCTAAAGCTTATCTGCTCATCCAACGATTTATCAAGGTGAAACTGGGAGATGTTTTGAAGTTTCTATAGCACTTAAAATGTGGCAAACATCTTTATTATTTCAATTATAAAGCTGAAATTTCAATTTAAATCTTCCAGATGGTATTGAACTTTGCATATATATTATATTTTCTTGAAAGATGTGGAGTGTGCATTGTGAGTATTTCTAAGTTCAAATCATATATCAGAAGACACCAAGTTCCTCAAAGTGCCATTCTGGGTTCACATCTTTTCTTTTCTTTTCTTAGCTGTGTTTTTATTAGGTCAGACGATTAAACAGATCAGCGACGCTTAAAGTTATTTCTTCACTGACAATCTCCATTCTTACAGAGGTACAGAAATAATCCTGTAATTAACTCCCTGGAAAGAATTAGACACAGATGAATCACTATAACAAACAGCTAAATTCGGACTGATAAGAAAAATAACTTAAGGTTAGATATGGAGCAGATAGTTCCATATCTACCAATAAACAGGAATTGTTCTCGCAGAAGCACAGTCTCTGGAATAGGACTAATTTTTGATTGAACTTTGTCCCTGTGCCATAAAAAAGAAACAATTAATAAGAAACACTTGTGCAATAAGTGCAAGGAAATTTCATTTTTCGCAACCTAGGACCATTTCGTGGACGTTGATGTCATGAAGGTAACCAGGGGATAACAGAGACACACAGTAGGGGATGCAAAGATTGAGGGAGAGAGAGGCAGCACCCTGAAGAATGCAAAATCAACAAGATGTCTGATTTTGAGTAGACATAGAAACTCTTAGTGATTCAGGAGGTGTTGAAGAAAAACTGAATCGCTGTCCTGAAAATACAAAGAAGTATTTAAAACAGGAAGAAAGCTGTCTTTTTTACTTTTTTTCCAACCTCATGGAAGCTTCAAGTTCTCTACTCATAATTAACTTACTGTCAACGAATCCACGTTGATATAGTGTTATTGAAAGATAAAGGATTTAAATAAAAAATAAAAGGATATTTTTAAATATAGTAACCTGTAGATAACATATTTGTTGACATCGTTATTTATTTGACCACTTTTTGCATTTTAAACCAACATAACTAAATTTACACAACTTTTATTATTATGGAGAAACATTTGGCCCTCTGGTGAATTTTCTCTAATAGACGCATATTAGAAAAAATAATAATAATCAGGTGCTAATAGCAAACCAAACTCTCCAATACTGGTTTCAACATTTGAAAACAAGAAGACTGCATGTTTTTTGACTGACTTCAACAAACCTTTGGCAGAATTCTGACTCAACATTGGAGTTATTATTTGATATTGGATATTGATATCATAGCATAATTGGAAGATTTTAGTTGAAATGGTTGCACTCAAGGTACAGATCAGGCTATTTTTAGGTTACGTCTAGTAGCGAGTAAAGTTGGGCCCATGCAAAGGCTTGACGTTTTTCCGTTCCAGAACGACTTCTGATATGTGTCTGGTATCATTGTTGCGTTGTCGACTAATTGCTGTTGCCATTATGCGGTTCAGGTGTGTCACTCCTAAATAACCTGTGCCCCTCCCCCTCACTGACCACTTATAACTCATCTGGAGGTCTCCTGCTTGCAGCTGTGCATGCAGACATACAGATTTAACTACATTTGGAAGGTGTTTTACTTTATTTTTGTTTAGTTTTACAAAAGGCTTCATAAGAAGCAAATCTCTGCAGCATAGTTGGAGATAGACTCCTGGCGTACATGACCATGTCTTCCTATTGTGCTTCAAAGGGGGCAAATGTCAAACTGCTGTTGCGTCATGTTTTCTTTGCTGGGACTCATGGTCCCCATAAAGCACTCAGGCTGTTTGAAATCATGAGGCCTCTCTCTGATCAAAGGATTTTGCCCAAACAGCATCCCTAAAGTTTTCTGGCAAGACCGTGATATTGTAACAATCTCCTGCTTTTAATTCATTCAAATCTGTCACAGGTGAGACAAATATTAAAACCTCCTGCCAGCAACACCATATATGTCTAGATGTAAACTCCGGCAAAGACATAAGGACTGTATTTGGCGTTTCATCTCAACATATGTCAGACTTTTAAATGCAGCTCACACAGAACATTGAGGCAGAGACATCGGTAGAAGCACATCTAATTTTAATTTCGTCTGTCTCAGCAACATTGTTTTTTCTGGAGCTTTGCATGTCAACAGAGAAGATGCCTAACAATTAGGTGCTTAGAAAGTAGGTTATAAAGAGCAAAGAAAACTTCCATCTGACTTCACTGCAGTCGGCGTAAAACGTCTGCTTCCAAAAGCAACATTTATATGTTTACTGCTCTAATAATATCCTTGACTCACAGTGCAATGCACAAAGTGAGGTTGTGTGCATGTCGATGAACAAGTCCTTACAGGCTAAAAGGTCAAAACCGCCCGGACAGATATTACTGCTGCAACATCAAAGAGTAATTTTAACTGGCTGTAAAGCGACAGGGCACCTTCCCTGGCTTTTTACTGACTGCCTTGACTGGGGTCAGCTCACAGTGTTTAAAAGGAAATACTATAAATTACACACCACATATTGATAGGGAGAGCGATTAACCACATGCTTCCTAATCAGAAGATGAGCTATCCAATTTTGAAGGAGCAAAATGAGATCAAATATGGAAAAGGAAATGCATAATATCAATTTTATGACCTTTGAGCAGGATCTAATCTAAAACAGCCACAATTTTGTCATCATTCATTTGTTTAATTATTAATTATTTTTATTATTATTATTATTATTATTATTATTATTATTATTATATTATTATTATTATTATTATTATAGCTACAGTCATAGTAGTAGTAGTATTCAATAGTAATAATTTTTTTACCACTAGAGGGGGACAAAAGCTGTTTGCAACCTCAACTTAACATCAACACACAGTGCCAGCAAAAAGATTTAAAAATTCTTATCATATTTAGAATATAAGACAGCAACATTACATTAAACACAAGGCTGAGATAGTAGCATATTAGAAAAGTGTCCTGTTTATTGCCAATCCTCTTGCCTCTCCGTTTGCCGATCACTCGATATGTGTGAACAATTTTGGCTTCTTCTAAATTACTTTTGGTATAATTATAAAAACAACATTCTCTAATCTAATATATATATATATATATATATATATATATTATATATATATATATATATATATATATATATATATATATATATATATATATATATATATATATATATATATAACCTTGTTTGGAGA